CCTTGGACTGCTTCTTCTTCGCCATGTGGTCTGAAAAAGTGGCGCGTGTCCGTCTGCCTCGTTCGACAAAAGAATTTTGCCCACTTCGAAGCCGACCTGAGCAACGATATGACTTGGCGGCAAATGATCGCAGTGGGCGTCAGAAGAGTCGTCCTTGCGCGAGGAGAGCTCGATAAACTCGAGGGGCCAAAATATGCCGCGAGGAGGGCAGAGTTGCGCCGAAAGGCGGGAGCAGCCGCGAGAGCAATCTCTCTCTCTCTCTCTCTCTCTCTCTCTCTCTCTCTCTCTCTCTCTCTCTCTCTCTCTCTCTCTCTCTCTCTTGAAGCCACCGCTCTTCATACCGTTTATTCACGAGGCTTTGTTTGTTGACCCCAAGGAACCGTGGGCTCTTCTGTGAATCCCATCCCCAGGGCCTCCAGGGCTCGCACCTCAACCTCTCACAGACCAGCGCACAACGCCATATCAGCTATTTTCTTCTCAAAATAACAACGCTGTGAACAAACAGCGAAGTAGACGCCCTACAGTGGGTTGCGGGCATTAAGGAAACAGGATTCCGCGGCACGCACGCCGCCGTTTCTAAGCCTTTCCACAGCCCTCATCCACCCCACGCCGTGGTTTCTTAGTGTTAGACCTAAAGGTCGGCGCTTCGACCAACTAGGCCACTTTGAGCAAGGCCTCTTCGTCAAAGTCGAGGGGCCTTGCTCGAAACACCTCGAGAGTGCGGGTGAATGATTTCTTTTTCCAACTTGATGACAAGTCGTCGGCGTTGCCAAGGAGGAGGGGTCGGACTCTATCGCATGTCCCTCCGCCGTCAGTTCTCCCAGAACCCGCCGCCGCCGCTCCGCACGGGCTCGGAGACGGAGGAGCCGCTGGAGAAGGCGTCTCAATGGGCCCGCGCCCCGCACGAGTGGATCACGCAGCGGGTTGACATCGTGCGCGGCTTTGTCGCGAGCGACCTCTCCGACTATGTGATGCGCTTCTCGATGCTGCTGCTCGGCGCCTACACGCTCTACCTCGCGTGGTGCGAGTCCTGCAAGGCCGACTACCTCGCCTATCTCGCCGGCGTCGGCGAGGCGCTGCTCGACTTTGTGACGCTGACGCGCGGCTCCCTCGCGGGCGCGACGGTCGCGGTGTGCCTCTCCGTGTGGCTGCTGACCGTCCGGTGGATGCGCCGGCCGGCGCCCATCTACCTCATCGACTTCAAGACGTACCGGCACTGCGGCGTCGACGGCGGCGACCGCGACTCCACGGCGGGCGTGCCGGCGTCGCAGGAGCGCTTTATGGCCGAGTCGCGGGCCGCGCTCAACCGGTTCGGCGAGCCGTGCTTCACGGAGAAGTCGATCGAGTTCCAGGAGAAAA